CCATGGCGATAAGAGTGGAACTAGATCAATTATTGAATCTTTCCCTGGGTACTCCCGAGCTCGGAGCAGTAAACTTCAACATTCTTCATGGAGTATTACGAGAGATTCTCAGTCATCTAGGTATAGAAAAGAAAGAAAAAGAAATCGAAGATAATGGGCATTTCAAAGCAGCATTTTCACTACTTAAAACCAAACAAGAAAGTCTCCAAAATGGGGATAAAGGTGAAGATGTCGAACGCTCTACTGGAGGAAGAGGAAATACCGATAAAATACCTTTCCCTGTTGCCGCATTATCTGCACCATTTCAGAGTAGTTTGGAGTCTAAAGTAGCGAGTATCGAGAAAAGGTTGGACGTTTTGGACGATTTGCCTAGTAACGCCGAAATTCTTCAACGTGCTAAGCAAAAGAAGGATGGTAGAACACCTGTTGGTGATATGTGGCAATTTATAAACATCAACAGGAGACTTGGTGCCACCGAAACTGGCATTGATAAGGTAACTAGCATTATTGACTTTCGCTTTGGGCTTTGAATTGTGAAATCTATCAGTAATTAAGGGGTTTTGAAGTACTTTTAAGTGCTTTGTTATTGCTCAAATAAATTTTACTACTCTTAATATAATCACGCAAATTACTTGAAGTTAACTTTTTCAAGGCGGAGGAGTGTACAAAGATGGAACGTAGTTACCAGGTCAAGTAAAAAATTATTTGTTTACATAACCAATCGTACATACGAAAATCATTTATAATTGATAAAGTAAACTTTATGGGTGTTAACAATTAAACAAAAGCGTGCAGTCTTTGGAAGTGAATAATGGGATATGCTTTTTCTGATCGATTTAAAATGAAAAGTACGAGAGGACCATAAACATAAACCAAACTTGCGTGTCTTCGACTATTTTTGCTATCAGTGCCGGTGTAAGGTAACCATCTCATAGGAAAAGAAAATGAATTATATCAGGTTACTATTTTTGGAACTTTCAAACTCATGAAATTATTACTTAGTTTTTCGAAGAGATACAATTGTTTCTATTTTGTGTTCAGTCAGTAGATTGGTAATTTAAGGTTTGTTCCTTAGGCAAAAGTTTAAGAGAGAGTTACCTTACAAACTTTTTATTTTGAAAACTGAATAGTAACTTATTCTTTTGAAATGTTTGGGGTCTTCTGCCTCTCATTTATCAAAGCATTATTTCTACTATTAATTATTTTTTCATCATGATACTATTTACTGTTTTAAAAAAAATTTTTATCATGTGAAATTTAGTCAATAAAAATAGTTAGCAGTTTTCTGTACTATGATATTGCTAATAATTAAGTTGGTAAGATTATTGTAATTTCAGCAACAGGAGAATTGACTGGAGTGATAAATGGACTACTTGAAAGCAATTTTGTGACCCTCTGAAATTGCAAAGTATTGAGGGATTTGGGAAGGAAACCAAAACAAGGGTGATGGGATGTAAGCATAGTGTGTCTAAGTTTTCACATCATGTCAACCAGTCATGAGCATTGGTTGGTAGAGCAACTAATACACAGTCACTATGAAAGGTTAATTTATTTGTCCCCCTTAAAGTTATGTCTTGAGTGCAAGTTGTTGCTGTGGCAAATTTTGGGACACAGGCTAATTTTCACAATAATATTTTTCAAAAAGGTATTCCTTTTTTTGCCATATTAACCATGTAAGTGAACAAACTCCAACTAACTTCTACTTTCAACACACTACTGAGAAAACTTCTAAACTAGTTTGAATACTAGTTTGAAACTAGCATTCCTTTTTTACTTCACCAGTAAAAATTCCCCTCATAATCTTTCCACAATCCAAGTGAAAGGAGCTAGTGCACTTAACTGATGACCTGTCCTTCATTTTAGTTTATTTCAAGGATTTGAAAATGCTCAAACTCATCCATCATACATTAGAAGAGTAGAGAGTTCTTTGGCTCTAGCCCAGAATTCTCAGGCTAGATTTATGATTTCCCGTATATCTTCTATTTAGACATGGAGCCAGTATCTATTATGTTCTCTTGATACTTGACACTTTTCTCTCATTACTAACTTTCATAATGAAAAATCTTGACTACTAAACTTATTAATTGATGGTTCTATTATGTTTTAACTATGTAACTTTACTGGTAATTCCCCAAAATACTTGGCCATTCAAGATGGCTGTCAAGTTGCAGAAGTATACTGTAGCCCATGTCATGTAGTAGATTGGGAATTGTGATATTGGAAATGTTGATGTGACATCTTTATGGAAATGTAACAGTTGTCCAAATGATATTCTTAAGGTTGGTAAGATATTTTAAAATTATATATTTTTTTTACTATAAACTGCAACAAATATTGGACACTACCTGAACACACAGACATTTTTTTTTGTTAGCTTACCAGTCTTTTAGACACTATGATGAAAGAAGTAAGTGATGTCAAGGAAACTGCTGCAGAAATTGATGAGTTAAAGAATAAGTTAGCAAAGGTATGATTCCATTTTTTGTCTGACAGCTGGTAAAGGTTGACTCCAGAAATTCAACCCTACAGGACTGTACTTTGGAATATTCAGTTTTCCAAGGATCATTTCTGAAAAATGATTGCCATGCTTTCAGTTACTTTTCCCTCACACTGACACTGAATTGAATAATTGCGCTGCTTTGGGTGTTTTGTTGAAACCAATGAGGCCAGGCACGCCGCTATGTATTACGTACAACTATACCAGTATTTTTGACATACTTCTTTGTATGGAAGGGAATTACTACTAAAAACCCACAGTGTATATGTATGTATTAAAAATGATTTCAGATTACTGCTAGTATGATTTTGATATGGTAAATGATTTGATAATGGTCATTTCCCAAGAACAAAGAAGAAAACAAATCAAATTACAGGTAGCATGAATCATTTTGACCCAAAACTCCCAGCCATTCAAACTACAACAGTGTTCAGTGTACACTCCTTTAGTAAGTTAATTTTTTTAGATAAAGTCCCATAATGTGAGCGAAAACAGACATGGAATAATTTTTCTATCTGTTGGGTAAATTTCCTTTGAACACAGCTAATCTGGCACTAATATTTACCCAGTTGGTCTCTCATCTGAATGATGACAACTACTTATTTTTCACTTTTCCTTTTGCCCTTTTTGATTGTAGTTGGAAAAACTGAATTCAAGTTTGAGTGAAAGAATTTCAGCTTTGGAGAGTGTAGGTAAGGAAAGAGCCACTTCCGCATCCCTCAATATTTCTAACTGTTACAAAACTCTTTTTATCAAAATTGTGTGTTCGGTGTAGCATTGTAGCACATTAACTTACCTTTAAGGCACCGTGGAAACAGCTCAACACCCGGAAACTGTTATTTTTCTTTGGTAGAAGCTTTCTTTAGAAATTTGAAATTCAATGATTTATATGTTTTTTGTCTTAATGCATTTTGCAGACAACTCAGAGGAAAGAAAGAAAATGGAAGATTTGCTGAAGGAGATGGTAAGAATACCCAGAGTTATTAATGATGATTTAATGGGTTTCACGGCAGGACAGTTTTGTGACAGTTTACAGTCCACTTACTTTACATTATACACTGTACATAGTACAAGTCATTACCAATTGAAAGTAAGTCGAAATCAAAGGCCAAGTACATGTATCTAATTGTCATGTACTAAAATGCAAGGGCATGATCCAAGTATTTTAGCTATTTATTTATTTAATTGTATATATATTACTGGTATTCATGTATTTCAACAGAATCAAGTTTAAATCTATTTTTATAAGTTATTAACAGAAAGTTATTTGTTTGGTCCTTGTAATTTTAGACTTTCAGATTCTTCTTTATGATCAGTATATTGTGACATACATAGTCATTAGCTTTCTTTTTAAGTAAATTACCCTTGCCATGCTACAGTGTAAGTACAGTGCTTTAACACAGATGGCCAAATATATGTGTTCATTAGATCATATCATATATAATGAGCTTATATATCTTATATAATGAGCTATAATATCTGGCTTTTAGCAAAATCTGAAGAAGCAAGTCGATGGACTTCCTACCATGGATGATCTCAACAATTTGGATATTTATGTCAAATGGCCTCAGCTTGAAGAAGCTTTAAATGCTAGAAGGAGTCGCACTCCATCTGCAAAGTCTAGAGCTTCAACCCCCAAAGCAAGAACCCCCACTCCCCCACCACCAAGGACACCCAGTCCTCCTCACCCCTCCCCTGAGGCACTGGAAGCATTGAGGCAAATAGGAGAGCTAATGGATAAACATGAAGTGCTTGTTGAACAAGTGGATACTTTAGAGGTATAGTGGAAAATTTATGTTGAAATATTTCATACATAGCATAATTATGCAAGTTAGACAGGTACATCATTCTGATTATAATGATTTTAATTAATTTGCCACTTGATAAGTTATTTGTTATCTTTAGATATGTGATAATTTCTTAATTGTCAATGCATGCATGTGTACACTTGTGTGCAATAAACAGGGGTTTGAATAACTTTTCCTATAAGCGGCTGCTAATGGTGTAACAGGTGGTAGAGGTCCTGGGGCTAAGACTGCCGGTAACCAGTCATTGATTCTCTGAAAACCTGTCAAATAGTGTGAGTAAGCATATTGAAGTGCCCAAAGAAAATAAACAACTACTGGTATCTAGAATTTGGTTGCCACTGCAATAGTGAGTTGAGACATATGACTGTACAGTTTGGAAGTCTAGAACATATTTAAATCATTGATTTTGGCAGTAGAGGTTAGTTGTAGATATTTTGTGTGTAAAAACTTTCTGAAATTCAATATGTGTGACCTGTTTAACGTTCAACAAAATTTTTACACCTGTTTAAGCAGATCAATTTTTGGATCAAACGTGACTAGGAAAGACATATGGTAAAACCTTCAGAAGGTGTCCATTTCTGATAGAGATTTTTGGTCACAAAGGGGCTCAATTTTGGTGTTTCCATTACTGAATAGAGGTGTCTGCTGAATTAAGGTTCATTTTAAAATTAGTAAATGTACATGGTATATGGAGGCATGAAATTTGGAATGTCGTTTATACATGAAACAGAAAAAAATAAAACTTGAACATATCTTTGCAGCCATTTTATAAATTTGTAAAACTTTTTTGTAGGAACAAATGCCTAAAAAGGCTAACCTTGAGGATATGGAAGAACTGAGGAAAAGACCTGGTAAGGTTGACGAGCTGAGTCTCTGATAGTTAATAAGTGGAATTTATACAGTGTCACATAGACTGCTTGAAAAAGCTACTTGAGAACAAATCATAAGGAGCTACCATATGCTTTGTACATCTTACATAATTTGGCTCAAAGGTTTATTGGGTGTGATTCTTTAAACTATGCCATATCTTTGTTAATGTTTGGTTTATTCTTTCTATTTCATATTTGTGTACCCTGATGTCCAACTATTATTTAAAGGGGAAATTCCCTCAAAAGTCTTTGCAATACCTATATCAACCATGAAGGAAGTGTGTATAAAACTTTACTATTTACTGTGGTTTGAGATTCCAATGAGTAACCCAATAATCTGAGAGTTGCCTTTGAATGTGCCTGAAATTTTATCCAGATTGTGGTCATTCTGAATACAACTTAGCAACCTGCAAAACAAAAATGAGCAGAAAAAAATAGCTACAGTAAGCCAGCTTGCTAGATGAGATTCATTATAATGGTGGTGTCTATACAGCTGAAGGTTTTTTTGCACATTAGATGACAATTTTTGAAATGTTAGGTTTCTTTTGAGAAGCATAGAGAAATAATATAACATGTATTATGCTATATATATATATATATACTTCTCCTTTAGGGTTTCTTTTGCTAAACTTCAATTCAAAAGATTTTGATGTAACTCCTTTTAAGTTAAGCTCTATTAAGTGTTTTGCTTTACCTTAGATGTTCCAGATGATATTCTGGATCAACTTAAGCTGTTAAAGGATGGACTTGATGCAATAAATAGATGGAAAGAGGAGGTAAATTTACCTTTAGTTTAACCAAGGGGCTGGGTAATTTACTAAAAGCTGAAAATCCAATGAAGTGGGAAGTAGTCACTTGTAGAGAAAATTGCGTTTCCCTTGATAGTCATTACCTTAAATGGTGTGACTGTTGCTGCAGTTGTTGATGCTCTTTTGTGTGTTTGCATTTGTTTGTTTTTCATTGTAGGTTTTTCATTGCATGATCATGATAAAGGAGATTGTTTTTAACTAACAGTTTATAAAAGTGGTGGGGCAGCTGATCTTTTTCTTTTAAACTCAAATTAACACAATGTAGATTGCTTTTATCACTTTTTTGATATAGTCATAAAGCTAACCAGTTTGAAATAGGGTAACTCTCTAATGGCTGGCATATAAATTGAAAAGCATAATTGTCTTTCATCTTCCTGATGTAAGCATATAAATACAAAATTTTCTTTAATAAGTGTGGCAGTTTGTTAACCAAACAACTTAGGTTTGTTTAGTTTGAATTTTCGTATCCATTGAAACTGATAGTTATTTTAAGAAAACCATTCCAGCTGACCTGGAATCTCAATTAGCATCTCTGAGGGAAGGACTGTCATTACTCAACAATAACAAGCAACAGGTACAATGAAGGGCTTGTTAGCTAAATTCAACTGATTTTGCTTTGTAAACAAATAAATTTGATTTACCAGGTCATGACTTTGGGTGTTAAATCTTCGTACAGTACATTGAAATTAGTATTATTCAACTCAATTGATGTCACATTTGTATGTGATACTAAATGAAACTTAGAAACCAACCAAAATTTGGTAAAAAAAGAGGGATACTTACATTGGTTTGGAAAATACTGTTAATTTCTATCTTTACAGCCATCTAAAATAAAATTTGCCAATTTTTTTTTTAAGGAAACATTCAAAATGTTTTGTGCCACTGTGCTATAAACACCTTTTTGCATTTTTTAAGATAAAGAAATAGCCTCGTACTGATATTAAAATTTCATAAAATTTTACAAGATTGAAAGCATGAAAGAACAGCTCCAAAGTCTGAAGAAAGTGTCTGATATGCTGAGCTACCACAATGAAAAGGTAATCAAATAAATTAGTGTGTTATAATAACATAAGAAACAAAAAAAATTAATACAATTCGCTGGTGAATACAATTTTTGAAAGTGGACACTTGCCTCGTAAAATTGATGAATCCATTTCACGTTGTCTCCCAGATTATTAGGAGCCAAAACAATCATTCGGAACTTAAATTGTAAATAGGTCATCGGGCCAATAAACGGATTAAAGCGGGGTCTATTCCTTAAATGGTTGAGTTATTTGTGAATAGTTTTCACAACTTATTTAACACCCTCTGGTTTCTTTAGCGAGATAAAAGAGTTTATCCTATCTTAAACTTAAACAACGTGTACAGTACTATTATTGTATTGAGTGTCTGTGAAATAACCATGTTGTGTTACTGAATGTTTAAGCTTCCAATGATTCCTGATGATTTATTGGACCAACTTAATAAGCTTAAGTACTTGGAAAAGACCGTCACTCAAATGAAAGAGTTAAACGATCAGGTAAATTGTTCTCTATTTTAATGTAGTGGAAACCTGTCATAAGAAATAATAAGATCAAACGTAATATCCCTATCCTCTTTTTAAATAAATATTTTTTAGAAGGAGGTCTTAGAGTTCGCTAGTGATGTAACATTTCAACGATAACGGCAAGAACTAGAAACTGAAGTAATGTTTGCTTGCTTGTTTAAACCTTCCATTAACATTTACTTATATAATAAAAGTGATAAACCTAATCCATTTTTTTTAATGAAATTAAAATTGTATAATTATGCCATTCTTTAAAAAAAGTTACCGTCAAGGCTGCAGCGCATTGAAGATCGACTAAAAGAAGATACCGAACGTGAAATCAGGACTTTAAGAGATGGTCTCCGCCTACTTAACAACCAATTAGAAAAGGTTGGTTTTAAAAGCGTTTTAAAATTTCCTCCTGAAAAACTCTTTAATTAAAAAAAAAATGGTACAATAAAGAAATGTATAAAATAATGACAGACCCAAAGGAATACAGCTATTTTGTCAGTCTCCTACATTTTCAGTGCATTGACTTCGCAAACCTTCTGAACAGATGATCATATTGAAGATAGGACACCTTAGACATTGTACTTGAAATGTTGTCATATTTGGTCTTCTTGAATTATTGTTCAGCACTTTCTAAGTTGGGATAAGGTAAACAAGTACAAATAAGTAAGGACACCAAATTAAATAGACTCATACTTGTTTTAGTAGAAAATAATATAATTGTTTTTGTATAAATAATTGATAGTAATTTTCTTAAGATGTGGCACAGCAAATTAAAACCTGCATTAAATTTTGTTGTTAAAGTACAAGAAGACGAGAGAAACAACTCCTAATAGTGCGTCTTCTGGGAAAGGACAGGTAACAGCTTTACCACACACACGAACTAAAAACAATTGAAACTATGAGTAAAGCGTTGAACAGCAAATTAAAACTAGTCAATAAAGCCAAAAATTAAACTACCTTACAATATATGACATTTATTTACGGAGATGTGGTTGTCTTTTTAACTTTTCACCTCTTTAAATTTCCAATTAGTGTAAAGATTAAGAGCAGGAAATGTTAAATCGCTAAAACGCACTTGCTAGCCAAACAAAGTATTATCGTGCAGCCGACAATGCCTCTTCAATTCCCTTGTTTAATCCATACAAACACTGGATATTTGCCAAAAGGATATTCATCTTGAGGTAAGACAAGTTCTCGATCCAGGTTTGGAAGAGATGATGAGCGTGCTGAACTGAGGAGCGGGAGGTGTGGGTGTTGTTTTACTGGGGTATATTATAGATCATTTTACTCTTTCAGTCAGGGAATATTGACGAAAGGAAGAGGGTTAAGATGCCACGGACAGTCACCCTATTGAGATGGAGCGATAATGATGTCCTTGCTTATATATTTCTGTTGTGGTCCTCTCGCTCGTCTAAGACGTTTCCCTCTTTTTCTTTTTTTGGGTGTGTGCTTTGCAGGATGGTGACGCGCTCAGTGCTTTAAGGAGCATGCTAACTGAACTACAAGGAGAACAGGAAAAACTGAACAGTACCACAAAAGAACTTATAGAGGAACACAACAGGAAACAGAAACATATTGACGTGAGTTACAACAACTCCGCATTGAACTTTACTAAACAGGGAACCGTTAAGTTATTTTTATGAACTTTCACTGGTTCTTCTTAATGCTGCCATAGTTTTTTGTGTGTACTCTGTACTATAGGTACAACTGTTTGTATTTAATAGGCTTTGTACACGTACGCTGACAGATTACAAGAGGTTAAAGCTGACAAAGAACAGGTTGCCATGGAAATGGACGTGGTATGAAGACCCTTTGTTATGATTTTATGTTGTCGATTAATTTCACAGGTGTGCTAACAGGCGTCTTTTTCAGGGAGATATTCTGAACCGGAGCGTAAAGCATCAAGCCGACAAGAAACCACTAATTCATTTTTTAACTTATACATGATTTTCTAGTTAGAGTTCAAGTACCGTCGTAGATGAAAAATATTGATGCTCTGTGTTAGCAGATATTGACCTTGCGTTTTTATATACTATTGCAGAAAGACGATAAACGTTCATTGGATAACTTAATAAGTCGGAGCAAATTTGACCAGAGTATAGGTGGCTTGGAACAGTCACTACAGGAGCTCTTAAATCGACTGGACGGACAGGTGGGTTCTACAACAGACAAATGTTCCTATCACCAAGATGTGACTCTTTCTCTTACTCGCCCCTTAACGTTTCCTTATGTCTGGTGAAAACCCACATAGCAATCTGGAAATGGCTTCAAACCTATCTTAAAGATCTTGGAATGGTTTTAAAACCTTGGAATACAGCAGTATTTTATGGGGGAAACTGTGGAGTATTTTCAGTAATGATTGTTCTACGTTGTGCAGGAATCATCATTAACCGATGCCTTGGCTCGACTTGCAAGCGACATTGATCAGAAACTTGATAGATTGGAACTGGATCCACTGAAGGATTACTTTGGTGAGAAGTGACTTTTCCGTGCATTCATAGAATATTATCACTGCTCTCAACGACTAAATGTGTGAATTCCTCTATTTTTCTTAGAAAAAAAGATGAAAAGCATGAAGTGTAAACACGTTGATTTACCGTTATCCGATGATCCAGCTGCTGGATTCCGCAAGTAAGTCAGTGTTAGTAGTGAAGTAGGGTCCATAGCTTGGTTGTTTTTTTACCAAAATTCCTGTATTAAAAATTCTAATATCATCATTATTTGATTTTCTCAAGTCATCTCTCTGATAACCGGCAGTCTAAATCCCACAGGGATCAACAAACGCTTTTCATTCTACTTGATTTATTCATGTTTCTCTCGTTGCCATGTTCCCACCTATAACGTAGCTCCATTTTCTGCCTTTAAAAGCACACACAACCCACAATTCCTCTATTCGCTCCGACGAAGGGCTAACGCTCGAAACGTCAGCTTTTGTAATCGTTACGGTGGCCAATTTACCATTTCAACTTTGTTGATATATCCAAATTATTTCGTTACTCTCACCGACGCAGCCCCAAACAGTTCATCTTTGTTTTGTTTGTCTTTGTTTTCATATGATATCCTTGTTTTGCAGGGCGTTGCTCAGATTCCATTGTATTTCCTGTGACAGACCTGTTGACATGATACCCGGCCAGTAAGTGATGGTTTCTTTTTAGCCATTTGAATATTCCATTATTTAATCAAAGTGAGAGGAAAATCCGGAAACGTCCAATAGTCTGTTGATAACCTAGTTTGTTTGTGGCACTTGTCTACACTTCAAAACGACTAGGGTGGGCTATGAGGCGTTACCGTTTGAGTGTTCGTCTCACTGTTACTTGTTTTATCACTGACCGTAGCTGCTTTACCTATAGCCCCAATCCAGCTCTTCCTCAGACTCCTGGTCTTCCTCCATCCCGGTCAGGCCGCCCTTACACTACTTTTGAACTTGATCAAATACGTCAGATGCATCGAGGGTAAGTACACAAATCGGTGTCATAAATAATAGGGAGCTTAAGATACTGACGTTTTCGGGGCGACGGCGACGTGACAACCCAGGTAAGCTGGGTCAGAGGTTGCCGTTTTCGCGCCATAATTGAAGTTGTTAAGATTCTGATGACGGCCGGCCTTTGCGACTTCTTCGAAGTTCGTCGAGCTTCGCTTTATAAATTGAGGCTGTTTTTAATACGTTTATTAAATTTTTTTTTTATTTAATAAATTTAATAAATTTTTTTTTATAAATTGAGGCTTTTTTGTCGCAGCATGGTTACGTTTGAAGAATTCCGCCACCTCCTCGTCCTTTACTACGACGCTAATCTTATTAGCTATGAAGAGTTCTTGGTTTTGTATAAAATATTTCCGTCTAAAAACCCTAATTTTCCAAATGAAAATCTTCATAGATCTGAGGTGTACGTTTTCGAGGTGCATCTACGAATTGATAAAGGGAATGGCAGCAAGCAAAAAGTCTCTTTTATGTTAAGAATTCAAGTACTGTATGGGTACGTGCCCAAAACTTACCTCGACGATTTAGACTTCACTGTGTTGCCTCGGTCATTTTTAACCTAAACAGAAAACAAAAGGTCTCTTGAGTTAGTCGAGACATCGTGTGATGATTTGTGCGAAATGTGATAATGCAATCACTTCAATACAAGTGACAAAATTGTTAGTATATCAAATAAAACAAACAAGATCAACTCACGTTATCACCACGACGGCAAACTCACTGATTTCACGTCGCCGACAAGAGGGCGACGGCTGGGCCGCATGCGCAGTCAATCTCGCCCCAATCTTAATCGGTCTCCACGTCGCCGTCGCCCCGAAAACGTCTGTATCTTAAGCTCCCTAATGTTTGCTAGACGACGCAGAGGATAACTTGTTGTAGGGTGTTTTCATTGCCATGGAGGGAAACCGGTTTAGTCTTTTCCCCACCGTTTTCCGTAAAAAGACAAAGTTTCTAAACTCCTATTTCTTTTTTCTTTTGTGATGGAAGGACACTGCACAACCTGTTAAAAAAACAGTGGCAAGTCTTCCGCTGTGTTACGAGAATTTGGCCGTTTGAAAAAGTGGATACATTTATGCAGTACTGATGTACTTAATTTTAGTAGTAATTAAGTACTGCTGTACTTAATTTTAATTTACAGACGTACGTACATACATACATACATACATACATACATACATACATACATACATACATACATAGGTTAATTGACCACTCCCCATATGGGCTTTTCAGGGCCAACACCCACCCATCCCACCCAGGGGAGGACGTCCACCACACAGTAATCTCGTACGTGGGAAATTAACGTCTCCAACCCTGCAGGAGACGGGGCCTAGGGTTTATTCGTCCTTATCCGAGAAGACTAGAATATCTATCCATGTCTTGATTATAGAAAGGTAGCTAATTCTCCTCACCTATTTTAAGACCATGAGTATTGGTCTTAAATGAACTTCATTAACGTCTTCTTAGCTATTGATTTTGTAATTGTAACACCGATGTTTTGACACAGTGGATACACTTACGAGCAAGAAGTGGCCACAACGACAGCTCGAGCTTGTGGAGGAAGTCATACAGTGACATTTCCACACAGAAGGACAGCCAGATTCAAGTGAGTTTCTTAAATCTTTTTACCAGCTCTTCTGGTTCTGTTGCTTCTCGAATTGTTGTTATTAATTTTATCCAAAGATGATTTATATCAGTGTTAGCCGTTTATGTAAGTTGGGTAAAACAAAAGGCCTGGGGTTCAACAAGTTGTGTCGGTTCAAGACAAAGGAAAACCGGTTTTTTTTAATGTTTTTGTTTTCAGCCAATACTATTACTACAGAGAAGATGACACACCAGTCCCAATTCCTCCGAGGTAAGAGAAATAACATTTTTAATAAATATAATTGATGTAAGACCAAATTTTCCTTCTCAACAGCTGTTGGTTATTTCTGTGTAGTTTTTTGTGTTTTCATTATGACTTTAAGGTTAAATGAACTTTTAAGTTTTAAGTTTAACCTTGTTGCATTAAAACGCAACAAGGTTAAACGTCGTGTACTTGATTTTAAGGGATGAAACGGAGCTGATTGGTCAGGATGGACATATCTACAAAGGACGTTTTGATGGAAACATGGGTGGAGTGCCTGAGTTGCCACCGGTTGGTAAATTTTGTTGTCACATTAATTTCAATAGAACAAGCTAATCGATCAATCATTTCCTTTCTTCTCGTCTTCCAGAAATTAAGCGGAAAAACCTGGCGTGGTCAGAAAAGATGGGTTTCTCTTTTCTCATTTGACTACGAATTAAACTTTTGTTATCTCCGTTTTGGTGTTTAATTGTACCAATAACAACATGCTCGATCCTGATTGTCACTAATCAGCTCTTTAATGCAGGTTAATTGGTTGTTGCAGGACAACTGTCCGATTTGACATTTTTATCCCAAACAGCTTGTAAACGGACTAGTCGAACAGCTCAACAGCTCATAAAAATAAATAGGCTAATGCCGCTAGCCAACCAGATTTCACTACTAGTCAGTGATAACCTAGCAATATTAAGAAGACATTTCGAGTGAGTACTATGTTGTAGTAACTTTTTTTTCTCTCAGCAGAATCCTAAATCTCCAAGAGCCATGTCGGCGAAAAGAGCTTCTAGTCCTCAGCCTCCTCGCAATGGCAGTCCAATAAGTAGGCGTCCACGGTCTGCTGCGGTGCCAACTTCACCAAGGAACCAAGAAGAGGAGGTGGAACCTGCAAGGGTTGTTGTTCAGTGAAAAAGGATGGAAGCTCTATATTATTAATATAAAGTTATACACTGTGATATTTAATTCAGAGACAGGACGGAGGATCCTGTCTATGTGATTGGCCTTTTGATTTTATGCAAACTTTGACTGAGTCTTTACAAGAAAGAGGTAAAAAAAACGCATTCGATTATTTCTATGTATTGTTATAGATCTATTTATAACAGAGTGAAAAACACTGAAACAGTTCTATTGCCTTGCATCAAAAGACATACATAGTAGTTAACACGTTATTTGTAGTGAGAAGTCAGCACAAGATGCCGCATCACTTTTATGAAGAATGTTCATTCACAATCCAGACACACATGATCGTTGTTTACATCAGGATGAAGTTGATTTAATGTGATGTAAATAAAGAAGCGGGCCAGAGGTGAGCACCTACTTAAATAAAGGAAAAAACGCAAATTTCAAAAGTCCGCCATTTTGTCCTATCCTCAAAGCCCTGACTTCAAAAGAATTTCAGTTGAAGTTATAAAACAGCAGGGTAAGAAGTGTTCCCAGTTAATCTAAGTTAAATAAGCGTGTGCGAGTTTAAGTCCTTCTGCAGTTCTCTGTCTTCAGTTCTTCTCTGGCCAGCATAGTCAGGGCAGAGTGAAATCTGACGAGTAATTTGGGACCAGTCCATTCAGAGCTTTGTAAGTTTGCAACAATATTTTAAAATCTATTCTACAATGAACTGGCAGCCAATGTAAGCTCCTTAGTATTGATGTGATATGTTCGTGCCTTCTAGTCAAGGGTAACAAGGCGAGCTGCCGAGTTCTGTAAATGCTGAAGTCTATTAATCAGATACTTTGGGAGGCCATACAGTAGGACATTACAATAGTCCAAACGCGATGTTATTTAAGCGGGAACAATAGCCTCAGTAGTACTCTCTCTGGGATAGGTATCGCCTCATTTTGGTTATACTGTGAATGCGGATAAATGCTCTCCTGCAGGTTATTTTAACGAGTTCTTTGAAATCTAAACATTGATCGAATCCAACTCCCAAGTTCTTGGCCTGTTTACTAGACTTGATCACTTCTTCGCCGACTCGTACATAGTCGAGGGGTGCTCGTGGACGATATTTAGAACTATTAACCAAAAGTTCAGTCTTATCCTGATTTAACTTGAGCTTGTTGCGCAGCTTCCAGTTACTAATGTCCTTAACACATTGTTCTACTGCCATCTTTGTGCTGGATAGATGATTCGGACAATTGGATGTAAACGACAAGTATAACTGTGTGACATCTGCATAGAGATGAAACGGTATGCTATGCTTCCTGCTTCCTGGCTATGTCACCCAGTGGACTTGTATAAAGAGAATACAATAGGGGTCCAAGCGCAGAACCCTGTGGTACCCCGTAGGGTAAATGCTTCTTCGACGATTCAATTCCATTAACAGAAACAAACTGTTCGCGTGAGTGAAGGTACGAATGAAACCACTTAAGAGCAATATTCCTGATACCGAAATGATTCGGTAGTCTTGATAGAAAAATCGAAGGTCGACAGTATCAAACGTAGCCGATAAATAAGCAATAGTAAAATAACCGATCCATTATTGTCAATAGCCTTTAAAATATCATTTTGAACTTTCACAAGCGCAGTCTCTGTACTGTGATGAGATTTATATGCCAACTAAAATTCTTCTAATAAGCCTTCACAATCATTAAGATGGTCCATTAATTGTGCTGCGACTGCTTTCTCCGTAACTTTGGACAAAAAATATAAATTCGAGACAGGAAGGAAGTTAGAAAATAGTTCATGATCAGCTCCACTCTTTGTTAACAATGGTTTCAATATGGTGACTTTGAATCTATCAGGAACTTGGCCAATTGTAAGAAACAAATTAACTACACGAGTGATCACTGGAAGCAGATAATGACGGCACCTTTTGAATACGGAAGATGGAATTGGATCAAGTGTACAGGACTTTGAGCACTGGTGATTCACAAACCTAGATACGACCTCGTTGAGCAATTTAAATTCACTTAGCAGCTGGTTAGCTAGACAGCTTTCAGACTCAGCATTGCATGAGGTAACTTGACCACCATTTAGAGATCCATCAACTTTGTCAAGATCTTTGCGAATTTTAACAATTTTACGTATGATGCACGATCCTCGCAGTAGAGAGCGCTATTTATGCAATAGCGAAAATCAGACCTGAAAAAAATCAGGCCTGCACGGGATTCGAACCACTGACCTCTGCGATACTAGTGCAGCGCTCTACCAATTGAGCTAACAAGCCAACTGGGAGCAGGCGTTAAGTTGATTCGTAATAAACCCGTGATGATAAATCAGATACGATGAATATATTAAGTTCATATATTTATGAACTTCATATATTCATCGTATCTGATTTAACAATTTTGTCACTAAAATATTCAACGAATGATTCGGACAGAGAACAGTTATTAGGTCCAGATGGATAACGCTTCTCTATTGTCTTAAAAAGAAGTCCAGAGTAACCTGAGTTTTCCTGGATGACTGATGAATAAAATGTGTGTTTCGCGGAGGCAATCATGTCATTAACAACGCTGTTCTGAAACACATATCGTTCTCTATCTGCAGGTAATCTTGTACGTCGCCAGTTACGTTCGAGCTTCCTCCCTATGTTCTTTGGAACATCAATTTCAGTTGAATACCAAGGCGCACAAAGACGTTGAACTACCTGACTGGTCCTTTCGGGGGCATAAAGATCAAGGGTAGACTTCAAGACCCGATGATATGAATCAACTAACGAATCCAATTCAGCCGTGATTCATCAAACAATTGATAGTAATAGTATCATTGAATTCAGCATTATCAATCGAACGCAGCTTCCTGTAGCGAATAGTCTTTTTTGGAAATTGTAGTTTATGCGATAATAAATGCATGAAAATAGCGTAATGATCACAAATCAAAGGGTCATGAACCGTAACATTTCCTATAAGATTACACTGATTTCTAGTGATGATCAAATTCAAGGTATGACCACTTGTGTGAGTCGGCCCACTCACCCATTGTTTCAAATCGAAAGATGCTATTAAGTCGCCAAAATGCACTGCGTTGACATCGCACGAAGAGTCCACGTGTAGATTAACATCACCGACAACTAAAAGCTCACCTGATGCAGTGGCCATTTCCTCAAGCAGGAGAGAAAATGCACGATAAATGTTGGCAAAGGCACGGATGACGGGGGACATAGATAATCATCATTTGAGAATTTCAAACGAGGATCCAAGAATTCAAACGATTGAAAGGAAGCGTTCCACTCACTATTTTTGTATTTAACATCCAAAATTTCTTTAGAAAGCAAGCCAACACCACCACCTCTCGATTCCTGTGGGATGTGAATAAAATCATAACCAGTGGGACATAAATCACCAATTTCGACGCAATCAGTATACCCAGGTTTGAGCCACGTCTCCGTCAAGGCAAGAAGATCAATATCCTTGTCAACAACAGTCTTTCAGTGAGCTAGATTTGTTCTTTACTGATCTGGAATTGAGCAAGCAGACGCTGGTCGCATGAGAAGTATCGTGGGTGTTAGCAGCTTGTCAGATCGGTACCTTCACAAGATTGTCACGACTTAGCAGATGCAAATTTCGAAAATCGATCAGATCGATTTGAAATAACCGTCCTTATGCCATTTTGCCTCGTTCGTGACTTCGCCCATATTCCTGCTCTACATCCTCTTGTTCGAAACAAACGAAAATCCTTTAATACCGAAACCAGATGAAAAGGCAAACGAGCCGACGAAAAACGCCGCAATGATAACAATTCATTTCTTGAATTATCTTGCGTTATAAAGTTGTGGAGACCGAGACGAATGATGATTGGATCCTACCAACCTTGAGATTATTCAGTCTTGGTTAGATTCAGGTCCTGGATTTGAAGATATCAATATGCTCTATCATATCCTTGACAAAAGGTTTCGAAGGAAGAACTAAACAGGTAGTCTCATGCTTGGCAAAGTAACTAATCATGTGTTCCTAGGATTTTCCCTGAATAAATCTTGCAACGCTGACATTTCTCAACTGGCTCAGTTTTTTGTGGTTCCATGGTTTATTAATTTACAACTGAATGATCTGAGGTTTCTATCGTGAAAGTGGTCGTTGATGGAACTGAAATCTTGATCTTGTACGCTTCCTGCTAATTTGTTTCCATAGAAATATTAAAAAATACTCAACTGTCTTTTAAAAAAGTAAATTAAAGATAACAAGGTTAAAATTCAGGTGTTCCAGGTGTTTTTTTCGTTTGTTAACCCAGGAATTTAGTTCGAAACTCGACTGATTAAAAGTTCTTTCGGGCGGTACCATTGGTTCAACTTCACATCTGGAGTTACACATCCATAGACCACTTTCATAAATGAATAAAGGCTGATAGTTTCGAAAGAAACTAACTGTTTGGGGCTGCGTCGGAGGGAGTAACGAAATAATTTGGATAAATCAACAAAGTTGAAATGGTAAATTGGCCACCGTAACGATTACAAAAGCGGACGTTTCGAGCGTTAGCCCTTTGTCGGAGCGAATAGAGGAGTTGTGGGTTGTGTGTGCTTTTAAAGGCAAAAAATGGAGCTACGTTATTGGTGGGAACATGGCAACGAGAAAAACAAGAGTAAATTAGTGGAATAAAAAGCGTTCGTAGTTATGGTTGCATAACTTAATAGACCACTTTCATAAATGGCTGCCGGATCAATATTCTTTTGTTTAAATTTAAATTAGCCCTACTGGCCTCGCTTGAGATACTGTATTCTTTTGAATTTTGTACTGGAGAACGAGGCCAGTAGGGCTAATTTAAATTTAAACAAAAGAATATTAATCCGGCACCCATTTATGAAAGTGGTCTATTAAGTTATGCAACCATAACTAATATTTTGTCTTCATGTTAGATGACTACTAACTTTGTGAAAGAGAAGTTATCTGTACGACGTGATATTGAACACACATTCACTGCATCAAAACCACATAAAATGTAAATTGAGTGATCAACCGCTTTACTTACTATTTTTTTAGGTCAACCTCCGCCTTAGATCTCTCCAAACTACTCAGCGGTCGTCTAGCGCTTTTCCGAGCATGTGGGTTTGACTATTATGCAGATTTCGGATTGCTTGCTAGACTGGATTGAAAATAGCTGTATTGGCACGTCATAAAGTTCGCACAGCAAATTTTTTTTTTATCTAAACCATTCTGTTTTCACATTTTCCCATACTAGCCTACAAAGATGATCCTTCGAATTCTCGAGAAGTCCGCAGGGTTTTCTTCTACAACAATTAGTTACGTGGTTGAGTTAAAAATCGCGTCCATGTAGATTTACCCACACCAGTATTGTTCCGTGGACTATTGACAGCTTTAGTGTACAGGCGGGTGCCACTTAGAATCTTTTTGACTGCCTTTTGTACAGTTTCCTTTTTTTCTTCCGAAATTACATCAGAAGTTTTTTCAATTTCCATAACTTTATCATTATGATTTGATTCATCGTTCATCTTTCTTTTGTACTTCGCATTTCTTGTAACTTCATCCGACGCTACTACGAGGTTGTTCTCATCAGCAATCGCTGAAGAAACCGTCCTTGGTGACACTCCATTTCGTTGTATTGATTTCTGTGCTCCAACAATTCTTGGGGCTGAAAACTTCACAATATTTACGTCTGCCGCTACTCTAGTTGCGTTCAGCTTTTCGGGAAGCCTTCTGTTTCTGTCAGTGGTGTTCGTTGATGACTGTGTTTTACCAAATCCCGACATTGATAGAGATTCTCTGACAAAGTCCAAAGGAACGCGGCCCAGTACACCATCAAAGCGATTTTTCGTAACCTTTAGAAAAAGAGAAAGAGAGAAACATCAAGACAAAGCATGTATACAATAAAACAGCGAGTCTCTAGTTAAGTATCATATTTCACTGTACACCCATAACCAAACTACGATGTGTAGTTTGAGAGGAAGTGACTTGCGATTAGGATTTTATTTTCAATTATTTCTGGTTTGAGGTTGGGGAAAAGGTTGGTGGCTGATATATACAGACAAACTTAACAATGAGAAAACTTAAAAGTGAGAAAAGCATCATGAAAGACCATGAGATTGAATAGAGCAAAGGAATTTAAACGTATTCCACAATAAGCTAACAACAGAAACGTGTGTTATCTTGGTGAACCTAAGCCTAACAACTGAATATCTGTAATAACACTGGGCAGGAGGAAGCCTTGTTTACTTTAAACGAACTCTCAACAAAATAAGTACTACCGCTGCTCACGTAAGTGTCACCGCTCTACAAACGAAAATGTTGTCATGACACCAGGCAAAGGCCAGCTGCCATGAGTGGTAACATGGCTGACCGAGGACCAAACGGAGCGCTTATTATGAAGATCCTTGTCTTTGTTCAATATGCCCTTTAGGAATAACAATAATAATAAAACAACAACAATAACAACTGAAGAATATAAACAAATTCACGTTGACATTCATAACATTTTCTTGGTTCCTCTGACATATAATTTTCACGAAGATAATTAAGACAGTTGAACAACCTGAAGATATTTGTTGGCTGCTCCTTTCTTGCTCTGAAGAATGACCACATTGTCAGCTTCTTGACTGGCTTTCGCTGTACCGAAAATGGACGCTGTTTGCAATTCAACATCATCATTCTCCTGACAGCAAAAGAGTGGATGTGTGTAAACTTTACTAATTTATGACCATATTTCTAAACATTCAGTAGAACCTAAAGCGATATTTACATTTCGAGCAACAATGCAAGAATCAATGTCGTAGTTTATCAAAAGACAAGCAAAAGGAATCTTGTGACAAAGTTGAGCATCTACCTCAATTCTGCTGAGCACATCTCGGAAAACATTTAAAGAATAAGATGCACTTGTGGTAACAAAAAATACCTCACGGGGAAGACTCGTGATACTTCAACACTTCTACCTTTCGTTAGGGAATTTCAATCAGAACTCTCCATCACTGTGAATGCATTTTTATTCCGCTACGAATTCAAAAACGGCGATGCAATTTACGACTGTTTCGTTTCAGAGTACGTAAGACATTCGAACTTCAATCAGGTTACTGCTTGTTTTTCTTCTGTTTGTTTATTTCTTCGTTTTTGAAGGGGAGGAGTCCTATCTTCCAAATTCAAGGAGAATGCGGGTGTACCCATGAACATGTTTGGACCGTGTCAGTGTATAGCAAACCTTTCTTGGATGGATGACCAAAGTAACATGTACATTCCTGGTGCTGGCAAAATTCCTCAGTGCTGAGATTACGTGATTCTGAGCCGAAAATCGGTCGTCCCCGCGGCTGAAAGGAAAGGACAGAGAACCGCAATGAGGTGTTGGTACAATGGTAAATCTATCCATCATTTTAAAACTGAAACTAGTAGCTTCAGTTTGAGGATCACCTCAAGGTTCAACCAACTTGAAAATTTAGCCTAATTTTGGTAATCTTTGATAATTCCTTCCTAGCATCCTTAGCCACAGGTTGCTACTTGATTTTGGTTTATTCTTACAGGTTTGATATTTGTCGGCATTTTATCATCGAGAATTTAAACAAACAAGAAAACCACAAAAAATGGTGAGTACGTCTTTTGTGTGTAATGAACAGTCGTGCGTGTGTGTGTGTGTCATAATGAAGGCACTCGAATGAAAGATCAGCCATTCAGATTCATGATTCAGTTGTGGCGGGCTCGACCTCTGGAACATAATTGTAAACCGTCAACTGGTCTGCCTCCTACCGGTTGAGTTTTTATAACATCACAATTTATTTGTTTTATTTGTTTGCGTTAATTTTAGTGGGTTTCTTGTAAATTGGGGAGGGCTGTTGAGTACATTTCCACTCTAATACTATAGACATACACATTTACATCCAAAATACCTCAGATATGACGTCATAAACTGTAGATTGTCGACGATGACGTGTTCAATGTCATACACATAAGCAGCATGACTCATGGTCTAACAAGACAGAAAATATTGGTGATAATTACTTTCAAAGTAAAATACACTGCTAGTGATTAACCTCTGAAGTACTTTTAATAAACAAGACTTACTTCGATGACAGTGTTGATATTCTGAGCTCCGTAAAAACACATGAAGTACATTGGTAGCATCTCAAACTTGTCTGCCCAGTAATGAAATTGCTCAACGTTTCTTTCTAAATTCAATCTGAGTACAAAATAAATGTACGGAAAATCCTATTAATAGTCATTACTTTCCTCAGAAGTACGTATTTCAATTATTTGTAGCCTCATGGCCGTGTAGTGTGTGAGGTAGACTTAACCAACGAAATGTAACGACTGAAATAGATTAATGAAATAGCTTTATCCCACCTCTGACATTTTCTAGAAAGAATTGTTATCGACATTTAAATATCGTTATGATATTCAGTATTGACGTGAAAGGTTAGATCGTTTTATACCCCGATTTCATATATGAATCATTTCCTTTCAACTTACCCTGAATACTGACACATCATCATTTTCGCAAGGCGTACATTACGAATCTCAAAACTTCCCCAAAGCGTGTTCACCTGGGTATTGGAAAACAACAATCAAAACAAAAAGGACAAATGCTAAATTACTCAATCACCCGAGCGTGATTAAAGGTAACCAGACAAAAATAGATAGTGATGATTAATCATAAAGCTACAGGTATTAATGAGGATAACTTCTACGCGCGATAGTTCACTACATAGGAATTAATATGTGCCAAATGGTATGCAAGGATTGAGTACTTAAACAACATTTGATAAGTAATAAAAAAACACTAGCATTGCCTCTTTGATCGCTCTCCTGTGACGAATGATCGTGCATATTATCGTAGATTACCAAATACCCCTATCACCTCTCTGATAGAATAATTATAACTGTTTATATAGGTTGATGATCTTGGCATTAAATTCAGTTGTTTGGTTTCTGCTTGATCCAGTGTAGTTGTCCGTTGTGATATCGCTGGTTACATGGTGACAGGATACCCAACCTACGTAAACTATTTTTACTGAAATGCCGGGAGGAGGAGAAGCTGAGCACTCTTCAAGTTCGTCTTCGGATATTTCGAGCGCGAGAAGTGGAGCCTTATTTGCTTTGCCACCGCCAACACCGCTTCATATCCATGATTCTAACGCGGCAGAAAAGTGGAAGGAATTTGAGCCGGCATGGAGAAATTATTAGGTAGCTATGAAATTGCACCAGGAAACCGAGACCGTACAAATAGCGACGTTGCTGACCGTGATCGGAGCCGAAGCTAGGAAAGTTTTCTCGACGTTTACGTTTGGCGAAGGTAACCGTGACAGAATGCAGCCGGTGTTAGAGTTTTTCTGCTTATTGCCAGCCGTTGAAGAATGTTCCTTTTGAAAGATACAGGTTTTACTCTAGAAGGCAAGAGGCGGGAGAATCGTACGACCATTAGCGACAATTAGCTGATCAATGCGAATTTGAAACCATTACGGCAGATCAAATTCTACGGGACAAGCTCGTTTTCGGAATTCAGGATTCAAAGGTACGTGAAAGATTGCTTCGCGAAAAGAATTTGTCACTGGAGAAAACTGATGAAATTTGTCGGGCGCACGAGACAACGATTGAACAAATGAAAGTTGTAGGAGGTGCCAGCACTGGGGATACAGATCTGGGTGATGTAAATACCTTTTCTAAAAAGCCGAAAGGAGGGAAAAAGAGGCGTGGTCGATTCCCTAGAGGCGCTGACTCCCGAGTGAAGGCATGTGTTTATTGCGGACGTATGCATGATGTGTCAAAGCGTGAAAACTGTCCAGCATTTGGAAAAAAGTGTAACAAGCAAAACCACTTCGCGAACCACTTCGTGTGTTTTGGATCGGTGCCTCAACCCTCGCAGCGAAGCAAATCGTGTCCATTATTTGGCAGATGGATTATCAGAGAATGGATCTTTAGACGAAGTTTTTGGGGTGGAAGAGATTTCAGCGGTGACTCTTGATGATCCGCAGCTTGTAACATTAAAATTGGAGTCAGGAAATTATCTTCGCTTTCCGCCGGAAACTGGAGCACAATGTAACGTAGTCCCTTTGCATTTGCATAAGAGAGCGACAAGAGACTTTAATTTGCTTAACGTGACCCCAGTAAGCACTGTTACTGCCAAAGGGCGAGTCTTTTCGTGGCCGCTTACAGTAGTGATTACAAACGCTCGATCGGAGGGAGAGGTTTGAACTAATGAAGAACCAACAAAAAATATAAGCTTACAAAATGCAGAAATATAAAACTGAAAGGCGGCTAAAGCGAACGCGATGAACATAATAACTAGGAAGTTACATTGTATTGGCGCTGTAGGCCGCGAAAAGGTAACTCTAAACCAGATGTTCTCTTAAGACAAGATGTTCTCTCGAATATTAACAACATGTAACTTATACCAAACGCGGGAAAGAAAAACAAAACGTATCCCCGAAGGAACACTAATGAACTGAAATAAAATGCAGAGAATACTAAATTCTACAAGCACTGCAATTATTTCGTATGGTGGGACATCTATTCCTATCCTTGGTAGAGTTCGTTTGAGAGTTTTCTTGACTGTAATCTGGTGGACAGCAAAAGGGTCAGGCCTATACTTGGAAGGAAAGCTTGTCTTGGAATGAAAATCATCAAGTACTTAGACAATGGTCAGTTGAATCGGCCTCAGACCTCTGAGGGTGACGAATATGCCCATGATGCGCCAACCGAGCCTGTTTTATCCGCTGACCAGTTGGTCAAAAAATTCCCTCGCGTTTTCAGTGATGGAGTTGGTAAACTTCCTGGAGAATATCACATGGAGCTAGATGAAACGGTGAAGCCGGTTCAACACCCTCCTCGCCGGGTACCGGTTGCCATCCGAGAACGTCTACGAGAGACTTTAAGAGATTTGGAGAAGCGAGAAATTGTAGCTCGTGTGACGACACCCACAACTTGGATTAGTTCAATGGTTGTTGTACCAAAGCCAACTGATGCCTCACGCATTTGCTTGAACCCTAAGGATCTCAATCGGGCTCTACAACGAGAGAATTATCCCTTGCTTACCGTCGAAGAGGTTGCTTCTAGGCTACACGGAGCCAAAGTGTTTACTGTCCTTGATGTTGCCTGTGGATTCTGGCATGTTGCTCTTGACAAGCAGTCATCGTTCCTAACTACCTTTTAATACGCCGTTTGGTCGGTACCGTTGGAAAAGGATACTTTTTGGAATTAAATCTGCGCCTGAAATTTTTCAACGCAAGATGAACGAATCCATTGAAGGACTGAATGGAGTTGAAGTCATAGCAGATGACTTTGTTGTGGTTGGTTATGGTGATTCAAGCAGCATCTAAGGATCACGACAAGAGTCTTTTAGCGTTCCTTCAGAGATGTGAAGAGCGTGGAATTCATTTGAACAGCGACAAGTTGAAGCTCAGGATGAGAGAAGTTCCGTTTATCGGTTATGTGGCAACCAGTGAAGTCTTCGAGCAGATTCAGCGAAAGTTCGAGCCATACGTGAAATACCCCGACCGAATAATGTTGCAGGTGTACAGCGTATCCTGAGAATGTTCAGTACCTTAGCAAATTTCTGCCCCGATTATCAGATATTACCAAGCCTCTCAGAGACCTCACCCGGAGAGACGTGGAGTGGCACTATGACGAGCCCCAAGAGAGAGCATTTGAGCAACTCAAAGATGCTGTGTCGGTATCACCGATACTCTGTTATTACAACCTACGAGAGAAGGTTACCATCCACTGTGATGCGTCTCAACATGGTCTTGGTGCTGTGTTACTTCAAAGCGAGCAGCCTGTGGCGTATGCTTCACGAGCCTTAACCCCTACGGAAGACAACTACGCACAGATTGAGAAAGAACTTTTGGCGATCGTCCTTGCCTCTGAGAAATTTGATGCTTACATTTATGACCGTGATTCTGTTCGTGTACAAACAGACCACAAGCCCCTCGAGTCTATCTTCCGGAAAGAACTGTGTGTAGCGCCAAAGCGTCTTCAGAGAATGCTTTTGAGGTTGCAGAAGTACGTTTTGAATGTAACTTACCTAAAAGGAGAGAAGATGCTGATTGCTGATACGTTGAGCCGAGCCCATTTGCCTGACGTTAATGCCTCTGTTTTTGTCCGAGAGTTGGAAGAAGTCGACCATAGAGCAAACTTGCCTGCTAGTGACGCCCGTTGGCAGCAGGTTACCCATGCTTCCGCTAACGATCCAGTGCTGTAACAGCTTCATTCAAAATGGCTGGACATAGAGAAAGTCAGATGTTTCTGAGTGTTTGCGACCCTACTTTGACTTGCGTGACGAGTTAGTGGTACAAAATGTACTGATCTTCAAGGGTCCTCGTCTGGTTGTTCCTACTTGTATGCGCAAGGAACTGATGTCTGTTGCACACTCTACACACATAGGAACAGAAGGGTGTTTAAGAAGAGTTCGAGAGTGCCTGTTCTGGCCGAGAATTGCTTCAGATGTCAAAGATTATGTCTCAAAGTGTGACGTGTGTCTGGCTTATCGTACGTCTCAGACTAAGGAACCACTCCTTCAACATGAAGTAATTTCCCGACCCTGGGCTAAAGTGGCTGCTGATTTGTGTGAGTCCAATGGACGCACCCTTCTAGTTGTGTCCGATTACTTCAGCAATTTCATCGAGGTTTCCCGTTTGCGTGCTATCACAACACAAGCCGTGGTTCGCGAGTTCAAGGCCATTTTCGTACGTTCTGGCATACCGGAGATTATTGTTACTGACAATGATCCGCAGTTTGCGTCCAAAGAGTTCAAAGCATTTTTCGGAGAGCTGGTTTTTCAATTACATCACCACCTCGCCGAGATATCCTCGATCAAATGGCAAAGCCGAAAATGCTGTAAAGACTGTGAAACGTCTTTTGAGAAATGCAAACAATCGGGTGTCTCTGAATTCCAAGCTTTGTTGGATTGGCGTAACACCCCAACAATGGGAATGGCTACTAGCCCTGCGCAACGGTTGATGAATATACGATTTTCGCTATTGCATAAATAGCGCTCTCTACTGCGAGGATCGTGCATCATACGTATCTATAACCGCAGTTCAAAATATATGAACTTCATATATTCATCATAACCGTAAATCACTTTGTTATCATGCTAAGTAGATACAGGTCTCTATCACAAAAAGGTCACCTTCAGCCTCACTCTGAATCAAAGGTTTGGCAACTAAGTACACAACTGTAAAATGGCCTATTGTCACGTTAGTTTCTCATGCATCACTGGTTTCCCTTGTTGTTCTATTGTTTCGCTGGTATCTCGCGCATTTTTATCTTGCATACCCTAGGTTTTCCTTTTTTACCGATTCTTTCGTTAGAATCTCGCGCTCCTTTAGTTTTCCTTGTTGCCCGATTGTTTCATTAGAATCTCGTCCTCTCTTAGCATTCCTTATTGTTTGATTGTTTTGTTAGAATCCCGCACTATTTTAATTTTCCATATTGTCCGATTGTTTCGTTAGAATCTCGCGCTCCTTTAGTTTTTCTTGTTTGATTGTTTCATGAGAATCTCGCGTTCTTTGAGTTTTCCTTGTGTTTCGATAGTTGCGTTAGAATCTCGCGCTCTTTTAGTTTTCCTTGTTGTTTGACTGTCTTGCTAGAATCTCGCGCTCCTTTAGTTTTTCTTGTTGTTCGATTGTTGTTAGAATCTCGCGCTCCTATAGTTTTTCTTGTTGTTTGATTGTTTTGTTAGAACATCTCGCTCCTTTAGTTTTTCTTGTTGTTCGATTGTTACGTTAGAATCTCGTGCTCTTATAGTTTTCCTTGTTGTTTGATTGTGTTGTTAGAATATCTCGCTCCTTTAGTTTTCCTTGTTGTTTGATTGTTACGTTAGAATCTCGCGCTCCTTTAGTTTTCCGTGTTGTTTGACTGTTTTGTTAGAATCTCGCGCTCCTTTAGTTTTTCTTGTTGTTCGATTGTTACGTTAGAATCTCGCGCTCTTTTAGTTTTCCTCGTTCAATAGTTTCGTTAGAATCTCGCGCTCCTTTAGTTTTTCTAGTTGTTCGATTGTTTCTTTAGAATCTCGCGCTCCTTTAGTGTTCCTTGTTGTTCGATTGTTTCGTTTCAAAGCAATTAATGGACATGGTCCAATCTATTTACAACATCTTGTTTAGTTGCAGCAGAATGGACCATACAACTTAAGATCTAGTAATAAGGGTCTCATGCTGCAAGCACCAAATGCCATAACAAAGAAAACATTAGGTGATTGTACTTATATGTGTGTAGCACCAAAACTTTGGAACAGTCTTCCTTATAAAGTGCGTAACGAGACTGATTTAGTAAATTTAAAATTTCACTAAAGATTCACCTTTTTAATTTAGCCTTTAATTAGGATTGAATTGTGCATGGTGTTGAATTGTGCATTGAATTGTGGATGATGTTATGTTCAATTTAGACCATTTGTTTCGTTTGTTTGCAAGGACCACAATGGAAACTACTGGTTTACCAGTAATTGTGTAATCCTATAAAAAGACTTTTTTTTTTCTTTTTATGGTTTAATAGTTTTTACAATTTAGATATGGTTTTTATTAGTTTTGTAAATTTGATAAGGGTCTTACTGTAATTTATTATCTGATGTAATTTTTATATTCTATAACGGTCTATAACTGTTATGCTCATTTGATCATATGTAAATGGAATTTGCGCACTACAAATATTAAACTATTATTATTATTATTAAAATCTCGCACTCCTTTAGTTTTCCTCTGTTCGATTGTTACGTTAAAATCTTGCGCACTTTTGATTTTCTTTGCTGTGTGATTGTTACGTTTGTGTCTGGCGGAAAACGGAAAAAGAACCCGGCTAACATTCAGCCATCCTGACCCCACGCTTGGTCAATAACTCGTATCTCTTGTTGACCGGCTGTTGCGTTCGTATCTTACAGTTTTAGTTGTCTTGAAGTTTGAATATTACGTTAATATTTCCCGCAAAGAATTACCTTCAAATGTTTATTTAGTTGGCCAGTGCCAACTTGAATTTTTAGAGTATTGTTTGTTATGTAACTCACCCCCTGCATACAGAGATCCAGCGACATTTCACTCAATAAAGTTGTTTTTCCTGCTCCAGTGGGTCCAGTAAACACTGTCACTTCTCCACGCCTTAGACCTTTCAGAATGTTGTTTAATTTTGGAAATCTCTTCCACTATAAAGAAAGCAAATGAAATATTCCCCTATCATCTACTTTTCAAATTTTCAAGAGAACTACCGACTGCAACTAAAAATTGAAGAACAGGTACAAACCTTCACTCCGGCCACTTGTTCAGCATTAACAAACTGATCAAAAACTTCACTTCTCAACTAAAAACAGAAATTAAAGAGCCCATATGCAGGGCATCTATGATGGAAAAAAACATGACCGAAAAGATCGAAAAAAACATATAAACTACATAAAATACGTACTTAATAATAGCAGGTACGACAGTACTGTACTACTACAGCCTTGCTTTAAAATCTAAAACAGGATGAGTGCCATCGGAAGAATATTTGGTAAAATGATAACTACCCAAGACAGACCTGGTGGAAAGTAGTAATTTTTTCGTGGCTAATTGGTTGAGCAGCAGAAATTAATGATGTGAGATCATAACCCTGAAAAGGAAAACCAAGATTAATAAACTCCAAGGTTAAAGGATATAATGACTCTTGGCTATCAAACAAAAAAAAAAAACAGCTTACTTGGTTAGTGCGATTTGAAGCACCTTCTAGGTAAAGTAATAAATAGATATTTACAGAACAAGATAAAAAGGTTTACGCAAACAGTGAACTCCCAGCAGAAGGATCCGAAGGATACGATACCACCACGTGAATTTACATATAAATGCCAAGAAAGAACAGTGGGATAAACTTTTAACTGGTCACACTGTAGATTTAATGATTTTTCGGCTGTTCAGCCTTCTTCAGATAGATTTTTTTAAAAAGTACAAATAAAAACTAAAAACTAATTACTAAAAGGTACCGCCTTTTCTAATTAGCATATGCAAAAAAATATTTCAATACAAACAAAATATCACCTGTGAGAGAAAAAGGGTGACGGAGGGATGTGACAAAAGTTATGTAACGGCTCAAAAATAACGTAACCCCCCAAACGGAACCCCTGAACCCAAGAGCAACCACACAACAATTGAAACTATTTACACCAAATTAATAAGGGCAGGAACTAAACAAGTAACAAGCTTTACCAAGCAAGAACGTGTGAAATGGTCTAATTACTTGTTGTAGTTAAAGCGAAATTCACGTCGTTTATCAAGGCCATGCGAATGAGCGTGAATAATTGTGTCATCCAATAGGCTTCTCCCCTAAGTAATGTAATTTGTTCTATGATAATAAAATTCATTTGACAAATTTGAAGCTGAGAGCTATGGTTAGGGTAATTATTGTTATGGATTGTTATTGTTAAGGATAGGAACTACTCAAGTAACAATTCCTTTACCAAGGATGAAAAGATGTTAAGATTTATTTACGTAATACATTCCCCCAGGAAAAATGGCAATGAGATTAAGTACTGGACATTATATACAAACATATGTGACAAATATACGATGCCCAGATAAAATCTGCCTCAACTGAGAAGACTCAACGTACCAAATTTAAAGCGTCTAAGGCATTTGCTGGAGTTTTGTCATCACTGGGTCTGCAAGGAAATGAAAAAACTCAGCTCAATTTGTTTGATAAAGTACCAGTAAATCGCTATCACTTCCAGTTGCACCTCCTACATATAAACATCTTAATGGAACCTGATAAAATAGGCTGCTTAAGCAGGGAATAATTTGGATATATCAACAAAGTTGAAATGGTAAATTGGCCACCGTAATGATTACAAAAGCTGACGTTTCGAGCGTTAGCCCTTCGTCGGAGCGAATGGAAACGTCAGCTTTTGTAACCATTACGGTGGCTAATTTACCATTTCAACTTTGTTGATATATCCAAATTATTTCGTTACTCCCACCGACGCAGCCCCAAACAGTTTCTTTCGAAACTATCAGCCTTTATTCATTTGCTTAAGCAGGGAGCTCTGTTATAACAAGTTTACACATAGCTGAGACAGTCAAGCTGTGCAGTTCTCATGGAAGGTGCAAAGTAACTACAGGTTTGAAGTCTTACAATTTTAAAATACTATTTCAAATATTCAATTTTATTCTTAGTTCATTCTCAACTACTGCCCTGAAGATCGACAAAAAGTCATTTTCACAAGGTTGTCACAAATCTCAAAAACACAAGAAATCATACCTGAAAAGGAAACACCTCTTCAAGTTTAACTTCTTTGAAAACTGATTGGCTGCATGCCGAGAGAAAACATCATTTCCAAACCAAAGAATAATCTTCTCAAATTGTTCAAGTTGTGGAAGAACCTGAAGACACAAATACTCACATCAGCAACAAACAAATGTACATGCGAAGGTGCAGTCTGATCGTCCGGGTGAGTGTAGTCCTGAGAAGGAGTGTTGTCGGTGGTAGTGACTGACGTTTCGACAACCTGTGCGGAAGTCATCATCAGAGTCAAGTGAATGATTGTTGTCAGTAGAATGTTCTTATTCCAGTTCGTGTGAAATGATCGGTTGGTTTTGCCGTGATGTTATTGGGTGCAAGACTCAAGTGACGTAAGTCGGTCGTGATTGGTCTGTTTCGATCTGTCGGTAAAGTTAGGTCGTTCTTTTTCAGTCGTTTGTGATGTTTATGTCGTGAATGAGTCGTTTGTATGGAGCGGGTAGTTGTTGACATCTGTTTAGGGGAGTCTGTTCTAAGTTAGTAAACCAGCTTTCCAGAGTCAGTTGTTGAAAATAGTCAGTGCTGTAGGTTAGGCATTGCGCAGAGTCCCAGTCAATGTTGTGGTTGGTAAGTCGAAGGTGTTCAGCAATGTGATTGCTGACATCACCTTTCCTCGTCGCCCGTCTGTGTTCAGTCAGTCTTGTTGCGAGGTTTCTGCCAGTCTCACCGATGTAGGAGGCTTGGCAGTCGGAACAATTGATCTTATAAATCGTTCCCTGTCTGTTCCTCGGTTCGTCTTTGTCTAAGGCAAAGGCAATCTTTGGCAAACTTCCTTTTCTAGACTGCCTGGTAAGCAACAACGACAACTCATTACGGACGACAGTTTACAGGAAACCGACACACACCGACAGATTACTAGACGAGTCATCCTACAACCCCACATCACACAAAGCCACAACTATCAGAACTCTAACACGACGCGCACAACTAGTATGCGACTCGACAGACAGCTTATCCGACGAGAACAAATACCTTCACCGTGTTTTTACGAAGAACAACTACAACAACGACTTCATCCGACGAAACACTCACCGACCCACTACCACTACCGAAACAAACGACACCGCAACCCCTACGACTACAGCAACCATACCGTACATAAAAGGCATGTCTGAAAACATCTCGCGCATCTTACTACCCTTCAATATCCGCGTCGCCCACAAACCCATCACTACACTACGTCAGTTACTAACCAACGTTAAAGACAAAGACGAACCGAGGAACAGACAGGGAACGATTTCAAAACTGTGGAACCAAAGAAATACAGATGATGATTAACACCTACAATGTATGGAGATGCAATCTTGAACTGATATGTATATCATGCAGTACAAACCTCAAGAGGAAGTGAGTTTGTTCCCATTGGAAGGGAAATGGCCAGATATGAAGTTGATTGACTCACAGCAATAGCATCAAACTCATTGGATGTCAAAACAACCTAAAATTGACCAAGTGAAGCATAATTTCCATTGACCACAACAGTCTGAGCCTGGAGTAGATATCAATTGATACCAAACTACAGATCATATCAACTGAACCTTTTTAAAACTTTCAAAGAATTTTTTTATATACCAGAGTACAGAGTGGTTAATTAGTTTTACTGTAATCTCAATTCTGTTAATCCTTCTTCTACTTTTAATTGTATATTGGGTAACTTGAAAATTACCTAGTTTGATTTATTACTAATTGTAATTGATATGCTTCAACAAGGAAGAGCCACCCGGTGGCTCTATTAATAAACCATTATTATTATTATTACTACTTATTAACTGAACTGCTTTCACATTGATCTACAAGTACATTTGGCTCCTGGTAAATGTTTGACTTTCACTAGATACACAAACAGGCAACTAACCTCCTTTGCTTCAGAATCTACTGTATTCCAACCAAATAGTCCCAAAAACCCTTGCCTGAAAATCAAAATGCCAAATGAACAATACTCAATAACAAATTTAAAAAAATGCATCTAGCTTATATTTGTATGTTAGTCAATGTACATGTAAGCTAATTGTATATGTACATTACAAATAAATTAAATCAAATAAATATTAACCAAATTTAAATTCAAGCTTTCTTATATGATTGATAAGTCTTTTAAAGCTTGGGCCAAAGTATTATGCTCTTGTGTGAAACATTCTACTTTCACAGTACCTCCCATAATTACATAAAGATCCATGTGATATGCTCGTGTAGAGAAATTGGAGTTAGTTGGCGTCGCCTCAAATTGTAACATGCAGTCAGCATTTACAGCTTCCCAGTGGAAACAGATACAAGCTGCTACAAACTTAAGCCTAATGTGATCAACATACCAGTAAATTTCATATTCTTACCTTGGTTCAATAGCAATGCTTGAGTCAGATGAGTCAGACCCAAGCTTCACCAGCTTAATGCCCTTAACAGTTTCTTTGCTGATATCAAACCATGGGAATAGTACACAGTCATAATTTCTTGTCTTCCCATTTTGCTCCTTGAACTACATAAGAATAAAATCATATAGAATTTGGTACTTAAATTGACTCTACTATTGCAGTGTTATAATTTCTGGGCATAATCAGAAGTAATGCAAATTTATAAACCAAAAATTTACAAGCTAAAATTTACCAATAACTCTGGAGGAACTAGCAGAAAACAACCTTGGGTGAAACATAATTATTAAAATCTTGATTCATTTCAAATATAATTGTCACTTTATTAAAAGTAATTATTAATCATATTCACCTCATGTTCGACAAATCTGACTTGAAATTTCTCTAATACATCCCTTCTCAATTCCTATAAAAGCAGGATACAGAGTGAACTCAGCAGAATATTATTGGTTATTCAAAGACAAAGAAAAAAAAACATTTTTCATGAACATTAGCAAGCTTATTCTTACTGAGAAAACCAAATGAGACCCTATCCCGTTTAAGCAATCTTTTGACCAACACAAAAATGCAGTATTAGTCAACTGAACCCAAGAGTAAGAGCTGGTTGATCATGTTGTCTCACAGTGCAGGTGGAAGCAGTCCTGAAAAAAGGCTTTTGTGAGTACTAGGCGATAACTGAAATCTCAAAAAACCTATGCCTGAATAATCCTCTGAGTCTAGTAGAGAGTTGCATAAGTAAATAATGATCCTTGCAGGTAAACAGTTCATATGAAATTTACAATCAAGAACTGTTGGTCAGTCAAGTGTTACAGGTTTGGTTCTTGGAAACTGAGTGGTTACTTTTGCTGTGATATTATTGGCTGTATGTAATACTTAGGTGATACACTGTAAAAGTGGGTCGGGATAGATCGGTTTCATTGTGTCAGTGAAGTTGTGTCCTTCTATTTGCTTTGTTTTTTGTGTTAAAGTTGCTTGTGTGGAGCTCCCAGTTGTTGAATTCGGTTTGCAACCCAGCTGTCACAAGTCCCTGTTCAAAAAAGCTTATAGAGGAGGGGGTAAATGCTACTGGAGTCTAGTAACAGCTTATAACATCACTGCAAAGCAGTTCTCTCCAACCTGAGCCTATAACACTCACATGACTAAAAAATTCTCACTTGACTCCAATGTCCATGACTTCCACAGAGTTTGCCGAATTGTTATCCAAGATTAGGGCCAAGTAAGAAATGATGTTGAAATGTACTGTTTATATTATCTTATTTAGAAATACTGGAAAGCAAAACTCTCCTCACCTTGACTGAGAAATGATTAATAAACTTTTCCCAGGTATGATGATCACACTCAGCCAGTGAAGTTGACTTTTCCCATACTTTTCTGGCTAAATCTGAATTGCTTTCAAGATGATCACTATTTGAAGAGAATTTTCTTGCCTCTTGTGAAATATTTCCTTCATGTATCTTCTACATTAAAAAAAAAAAAAGAAAAAAAAACAAGGTGTAATCATTGTATATTGTTCTGGAAACCTGTGATCATCATCTTAAGTCACTTGCTGAAATAGAGAGTCAAATTTATGGGCGTACCACTAAGAGTGCTCCTTTTGGGACTTTTAAAATCCCCTCCTGGATCATTATACCACACAATCAACCCATTACTAATTAAAACAACAATTTAAATTGATTTCATCAGGTTTTGATGGCTGTGAATCTGTAAGAATGACTAGCATCTAATTTCTCCTCACCATTTTGCCCCAGCCATGAATCTAACAATAAAATCACAAGAATTAAGGAAATGATATTTTACTGAAGAAGCTATTCAGTTGCTAAACATCCAAAAAAATTCTCCTTGTCAGCATCTTAGAAATGAGAATAGTATGGAGAATATGCATACTGATGCTAGGGTGTAAAGGGTAAAGGGTTAATTAACAACTGGCCAATTAGAGCCTGTTATTTCTATTTTCAACCTTATAATTTTTGTTTCGATTCCTTCAAGCTGAGAACAAAAGCAATGTCACATATACGGTCCAATACAGTAAACTGAAACTCAGATCACAAATCTTTCAGCTATAAATACTGCCAGTGTCTGCAAGATGGTTCATAACCATGTTAAACAGATGGGGGATCTCACCCAGTATTCCTTGACTCTCAATTCACCATGTTTTGTCAAGAAACAATGGCTCAGTCCTCTCAATCATTGCCATTATTGATTATTCTTGGAAATAGATTCCTAAACTCATTTGTTCAACTGATTAGTCTATAATCACTAACTTTGTGAGAGGATGGGCCAGGTTCATGTAACTAAATGTATCACTTGATATATGGAGGAAACAATTTGTACTACTAGTGTGCATTCCTTTGAATCACAATTTCTAAAAATAATGATCATACGATTTGAACTGCAGAAACAAACACTTTTGAGCAACCAAAGATAAATAAATAAATTTTTAAGGCATCAGTGCAGAACAGATTATCTAAGGTGGAGGAGAGTGGGACCTACAGGGTGTCCCGAAAACACTGACCCCCAGTCCATGGACCCCCTATGGACCTGGTCCACGGACCCCTGTATGGACCGGTCCACGGACCCTCTATGGACCTCCCCTTTACGGACCCCCATGAAAAGACAAATATTACCATGGCAATGAAAGGAAGAAAAAGCCGACTAAAAAGTAAAAAAAAAAAAAGAAAGAAAGGAAAAGACCAATAACTTAGCTAACTTGTGTATATATACATATATATCCTTCTGTATCCGCCACCACTAATTGCCTCCGCCATTTTGTTCAGCTCATTCCCCCGTGTGTTCATTGACTCGTCCCAGTCTTCCACAATATAATTTCTTCTCTTCTCTCTCGTGCAACCATGGATGACTGGTGAGCTTTGGAATTCATTGACCTTTGTTCTTTTGTTTTTCTGTGACATCTACATCTAAAACAGTTTACAAATATATGTTGCTTTCTTTAGCAGCAATTTCGTCTACGAAATTATGTCAAGTGACGAGGTGAGTTGAATTTGTTATATCAAATGAACTTTCAAAGTACACATAATTGGAAGCTGATCATCAGGATTTTAGACTTAATCAGATTTATTCCAGTTCAGTTTATCAGTTTTTTGTCGAAGGGGCATTATTTTGTGAAGCCTGGGTCGAGTCAATGAACATGCAGGGGATTGAGCCAAACAAAAATAATTAATGGTGGAGGCAATCAGTGGCAGTGAACGCAGAAGGATATATATATGCAAAAGTTAGCTAAGTTATCGGTCTTTTCCTTTCTTTTTTTTTTTTTTTTTCACTTTTTAGTTGGCCTTTTTCCTCCTTTCAGTGCCACGGTAATATTTGGAATATTACCGTGGAATATTACCGCTAAAATTTTGCCACCGCGAACAAAAAAGCAATGGAAAGTCAAATCTCTATAAGTTGTCATTGTTAGTATTGTCTTTTTATGGGGAGTCCGTAAAGGGGGGTCCATAGAGGGTTCGTGGACCGGTCCGTACAGGGTTCCCTGGACCAGGTCCGTAGGGGGTCCATGGACTGGGGGTCAATGTTTTCGGGACACCCTAATCTACAAACTTTTCTTGTGCTCCCCCAGAATGGGTTGTTACGCCGGTAGAAACCGATAGAAAGTGCGACCTATTGCTTTTATAAAATAAATTAACAAAACACAGATTATTTCAATCTTCTGTGGGTTTAACGGTGCAATACACGATACGTTTGTGAACCAATCAGGGCGGTCGTCGTATCTCAGTTATTTTGTAAACAGTAGAGTCTTCTATTCTCACTGCCTAAATATTTACCTTAAATTGACTCCAGGTTCCCGATAATTCACAGTTTTTACAAAAATGACTTCCAGTAGTCTTGTTAATATAAAGTGTTCGTGCAGGACCCTTCTCCTTTTTGTTCCGGGCTTTGCTGGCACAAAGTGGACAACTTCCTATCAGTGATGTATGGCCGTGTTCAAACACGAGTTTACGACTAGTGAGAAAATGCTCGATCTGCTTTAAGCTAGGTAACTGTTCACCAAAATCACCAGGTAACGTATGAAGCATTCTTTTTCTGATTCGTGAAGTAAATGTTGTCCCAACATCAACCCATGTTGTACTGCTTGAATTAAATAGCTGGGATTCGAATTGTTGGTGGAAAGCTAACCACGTGCAACAAGTTCGGCATGAATTCCAAGCACTTTTCCCATTTTTAGCTAATTTGTTCCATAAAGGAAACGACACCACGCGATTAAAACTTTGAATCATTTTTCAGAGCACAGTCATTTTGGACAGTTTATGCTCCGGTATTTAACAATAGCCTACTGGTCGGGTCAATCGCCGCCATAAACATTCAGGCGGCACTGAGCATTTCGACTGTAGGTGTGAGAGGTAGGTTGCGGGGTGGGGGGGAGGGGGGGTTAATCAGTATTCGTATCTTTAATGAATAGAATTATGACCGCTCAAAACAGGTTCCACAGAATAGGGAAACCTAATAAAAACACCATGTTATGCCATACTTTATCTTTTATGCACGGCTGAACAAAAAATTTACTAAAAATGCAATTGTCTCTGTCAATAAACAGCATCAACAAAATGGTGGTGTTACCCAAAAACAGAAAAATAAAGTAGAATAAGTACTTTGACAAAAAAAACGACCTACATATAAAAATCGCGAAAGCAACTACTAGTTCGTATTAAAAGAATTTCAAAAAACATGCATCGAAATTATCCTTATAAAAGTAAATTAATACTGCTAATAACTACTAATAATAATCATAGTAATGACAAAAATAAGTAATTCAAGTACTTTTATAGCGCTATTTTCAAAGAAATGATCAGTAGCCCTTAAAAAGGATTTACCTATAAAACTATTCTACAACAATCTGAGTATTGCCATGTAAAATGTGAGACTCAAATCAGTTTTGATAATATTTGTAAAAAACTTAAAAATAAAATAAAATTTCTGGTGTAACACGGTTTAAGAAAAACCTGACCAAAAAGGTAGGTCTTAGAGATTGTGTTTAAAAATTGTCAATAATGGGATGGTATGCAATTCAGCTGGCAAACTAATCGTCAAACATGATGCAGCAGTGTAAAAGAATTTAGCACCAAGCATTGAAAACATTTTCTCTTAGGCAGCTACAGTAACAAGGTGCCATTAGGTCTAAGATTGTAAGATGACTTCAGCCCGACACTAATTAAATCTCTAATAGGCAGTGGCACTAATACACTGTACATGGTTTACTATAACCAAACAGTTGCACCTCTGGGTCATTAACTAGCAAAGGACTTGTGTGATGTTCGAGTAATACTGTCTTGTCTCAACAGTCCTAAAAAGACAGATAATCTGCCTCCAGGACATTGTAACTCAGAGTTCTAACATTAATTCTGGGAAATAAACCTGGAGAAAATTTTCATACTGGAGAAGGCAATACAAATGGGCTGTTGGGACTCAGTTGAAGGTAACCATGACTGCTTAAATGATGTGGAAATTAGAGTGCTTGATGGGAAAATTTAAGGACTTTGACAACTGACCTCTTAATACAGGTAACTGCTTACTTGGTATCATTGAATACAGATTTGAGTGTATCTTGACCAATCAAGCTTGGTCACCATCATTACACTAAACAATTGTCAAATAAATCCAACTAGCTCATTTTAGTTTTCTTTATGCATGTCACTTAGATAAGTAGCCTTGAGTTATCAAGTACATGTATATAAACCAGCTACAAGCACTGTTTTCTTTTTTTGTTTTGTGGGATCAAAGTGGGTGACCCCTAGTGGACCAGCCTCTTCTGCAACTCAACATACAAAATGAAGATAGGGATGGGATACTGCATATGTTTATTTCTAAAAATAAATTACAGATTTATATTTAATAAATTTCCATCCTATCCTTTTCTCTTGAATGTTTGTCTACTTTCTCCCTTTTCTTGACTTTTATGTTTCCATCAGGTATGTTTAAACCATTCTGATTCAGTCTCTTAGGGTATAGTTTAGTCACTTCTCTGGGCTGATCACCTTCATCATTAGACTGTTTTTCAACTGTTTCTATATCTTTATGTTTCCTTTTCCTGTGATCAAGAGAGGAGAGTTACACAATCATAAAAATGGAAAATATCCATGATGCTTTTACCAATAAACAATGCCATTCTACACCAAGCCATGCAAACACATATTAAGTGAAGTTATTTGTCAGTGATTGTACAGAATATTAACTTGATAAGAGATGCAAATTATGGAAAAAATAATGATAACATAATAAAGGTGTCATATAATCCATATGATCCGAGGGTCAAAAATGCCAGGCTATCAGGGATATAACACAAACAAACATAGAAACGCACACAAAAAAAGAAGAAACAAGAGGCTACACTGAGCCTATATTCTGGCTGGATTTTCAGTTCTGAGGGAACGAACTGAAAGCCTTACTGTTTTAAAAAAAATTGCTATTGAGTGCTTTTCTTAGTTTATTAACATGGAGAGTTATGGAGATGACTTTGGAACAAGTACATGCCATGACAAATTGGAGATACCAAAATTGCTAGATGAATTGGGGGGACTAACGAAGTACTGCAGCAGGGTCAACAGAAAAGGAATAAGTCACTTTGTGACTTAGCTTGAGTCATGGAGAAATCCAGAATAATGGTAACCATCCAACTCTGCAGAATAATAAACCCATACCTCAAGCAATCTACAAAACCAGTACTAAATAAAATCCTGCAAATTTCCAGTTGCAAAATTCATCAAATTTTGACACTGCAATTCAAATTTTTCTCTGTCTGCACGAGCCAAATTCTCCTACTTTCTATTCCTACTTCTACTTTTACCTCACAGTCACTCAATAAATATTTGCATTAGAATGTGATGATCCTTGTTTGCAAGGTTTTCCTGCATTTATCAAATTTCCAGTTGCAAAATTCATCAAATTTTGACACTGCAATTCAAATTTTTCTCTGTCTGCACGAGCCAAATTCTCCTACTTTCTATTCCTACTTCTACTTTTACCTCACAGGCACTCAATAAATATTTGCATTAGAATGTGATGATCCTTGTTTGCAAGGTTTTCACCTGCTTACATCTGATGACAAAGCTCTGAAGTTTTCTGTCTTGGAACGATATATCACAGAAGGCATGTTATGAAATGCAGGTTTTTTGACAGATTGAAATTAATGATATTTTTTGTCAGAAAAGTATTGTTGTTATGTCTGCTAAAGTGATCTACTGATTGATCCAATCTCCAATGTTTACATGTGATTGAGATAACTAATTGAATTTAATCAATCAGCCAATAAACTTTAACTGTTCTTACAGTTGTTGTTTTTCATCAGTATGTGAACAATTGAAGCAAGTCACAGTGTTAGGTTTGTGCTTTAAATAAATATTTTTTAAGTTCACTCGAAAGATAAGTGTAAACTGTAACAAGCCAAGCACTTCAAGCCTGAAACACTCAATGCCAAAACTCAACCTTATTCCCAGGCTATGTGTACCACATTGTTTTATGCCAATTAAAAACTGCCACATAGCATCTATTGTGCACAGGAAAAACCAAAACGAATTTCTGATTTTGGTTCATGTGCTGCCAGAACAATAAAGAGTGGGAAATTGTAAATATTTTTGTACACTCCTGATCTGGTTAGCTTTTTGGCTGAGTAACTAAACAGAGAAATCTAAATACGCACAGCAAACCATTTCATGTTTCAAACTACCCCTGTTAGCAGTATTTTTAAGTTCACAGGAAAAGGCCTACATAGATCTTGGACCAAAAATAGTCCCTCTATCCATCACACAAGTCAACAGAATTTAGAAAAGAATACAAAGATGCACTTTCACCTCATAGCCTCAGTGCAAGACACAAAGAGAGGGATTACAGATAAGGCTAGTGAGTTGAATGCAGGGTTGGCACCTTTTGGCCACCTACAACACAAAAATATGACTGGCTATCCATCAGGCATCTGTCAAAAAGCTGCAACCAGTTGTCAACATTTAGCACAGTGATAGTATTCAATAGGCTACCAGAATCCTTACCTTGGTTTCAGATTGTTCCACTATTTAAAGCCGGACATATTAAGGCTTTTGAGGTCCAGTTTTATAGGGATGTCATGTCATTACCATTTTCCGAAAAGATTTTGAAGAAAAGTGTGGTCTCTTTTGAACAGTATGCAAGTTATGTTCAGCTAGAATTTAAAATAATCACCTTTTGTTGTCTTTTGGTTCCTTAACTTCGCCTATTATTGCTAAAACACCATTCACGGCTTCTGTTCCAATAACTTTAAATGTAAATTCAGATCCAATGTCTAGGCTATCAAAAAGTAGTCCATTTGTAAAGTTCGATTTCGCAATCGAAGCGTTAAAACAATTGTGAACTAAACATCCAACGTGATCAATGCCAAGTTTGTTTACGGTCCCCACAAGCGTACTTCCAATCGTTGGCTTAAACAAGATGACATTCACTTTTACGTCGAAATGAATATAGGGTGACTCTTCCAGAATGGAGCCAGCTCTTTGCTCAATTTCAAAACCTTCATAATTTACAGGTACACCGTTCAGAATGTCTGAATGCCTCATCAGCTTACATTTCATATGTTCGTGAACTCCTTTCTTTACACAACCGAGGTATCGTGGATGCAGTACAATATGTTCTGTTGTTTTTTCCATTACAAAGCAAGAGTTTTTTTCAGAACACTTTCTTTTCGCTTCCTTCAGAGAAAATTCGTACGGCACATGCTTCCGAGGAGACGCCATGTTGAAACAACCCGGTTAGGGAGGCCTGGAAACTAAGGTCAAGTTCCCTCATGAAAAGCGCGGTCATTAGCAGCAGAGTTATGCATGTCGTCTTTAGTTATTAAGGACCTTACGCAATGAGGACGGCAACGCCAAGGAGGCTTCGATTAAAAAATGAATTTCTACTCTTAGTTAGAATTTCAAAAATGGTTGCAGGAGCTTACTGTCTTATACGGCGCCACAGCTCAACTTCAGCTTGACGTATAAAAGTAGCGTTTAGTTCCAAATGGAAATTAAAATAATTTTCCGTCGCGGTTTCGGTTCGCAGACGACGCAAATTTTGGCGATTTCACGTTGTTGTTTTGCATAGGACGGCTAAGAAATGTACAAAGTTTCAAAATGCACGTGCTGAGCTATTGTTCTGCCAATTAGATCTCTTGTTTTTCCACGTCCTCGTTGCCGTCGCCGTCGTGGTTGCTTAAGGTCCCTAATA